AGAGAGACCGCACTCAAGGGTTTAACTTCAAATCTAGAACTTCAAACATCATTAACATATTACCTATACAAAGGAACAGGGAGGTCAAAACTTCGTTTCCATGAGGGTAATAGAGCACAGCAGTTCACCTTTTAGCTAGAAAACCACCATCTTTCCTCCTAGATTAAGAGATAACAACAGTAAACCTAAGCAAACAAGGAAAACAGATATGCTTAAGGCGACCCCACACAAGCAGCTAAACCGAAAGAGAATAAAGCTTCTCATATGATTTTATTTCTTGACCAAAAGATCAGACTCAACAGAGCATCTAACACAATTCACAAATACAATTTTGGACATTGTCATATAGCAGCAACAAGGAATACCACATGCTAACCTCTCCAACAACCTGATTAATGAAGCATGGAACAGGATGAAGCAGTGTGCTGGAAGAACAAACAAGGATCAATTCGCTTCATTACAGAGATAACACTGTGTTCAACGATAATTCATGGGTGCTGAAAACCGGCGCTTTTAGGAAATATGACATGATAATACTCGCCCTTTTACTCACTTAGGGATGGATAAAAAAGTAAAAGGTAAACTTTAGGCTTGAGATTTACGGGGAAAAGTTTTTATTTCTGATAGAAGTGATTTCAGATATTTAAAGAGAGATAAATTTCCTAACAGAAAATACTTCAAGTGTGCCCTATTGTCCAGAACAACTGAAAAGTAATATTTTAAAAAACTACAAGCATTATGTGTGCCACCATTGCTAGTCAATGTCGGCATGAGTTGACTCTTGTGACAAAAATTGCAACCAGACAGCTTGTTTGGATGGTTGTTACCCATCGTTTTATAATGTATTGTATTGTATTATATTGTATTGTATAGTTTTATGAATACAACGTTTGGATAGATTGTATTGTTTGCTGTTGTTAATTAACATTTTGCTGTTTGGTTTGACTGTATCGTACGGACTATATCTGGTAAGTTCACTAAAATACTCTTAATTGTTTAAATATTAAATTTATCAAGAATTACGCATAAAAATAATTTAAGAAAACCCCTTTCTACTAATTTATCACCAAATATGTCTTTAACTATCATTAGAAAAAATAAATAAAGAACTATGATAAAGAAAGGAACGAGAATTGGCAGAACAAAGGAACAAAGAATTAGAGTTAAAGTAATCAAAATTGGAGTTAAAATCACATTAAGAGAAAAAACGAAACAAAAAGAAGGCAAAACCTATACCTTTTATGTTGGAGTTGGAAGCGGCAGAAGGAAAAAAGGGACTAAGATAAAGTAGGTTACAGGTTGGAGATTTGGTGTTAAAATAAAAAAAGGTAAAGGATAAAATAGATTTATGGAGTAATAAGTTAGGGCATAATTAGAAAGAAAAATAGGAAACAATCCCACCACACCAAATCAGTTGTTTCAAAAGATGGGACTTTTCATTGTTCCGGAACAATGGATTCAACAATACAATACAACTAATTTTAATGAAACAATCAAAACAAACATTGTTTTGGGATAACAATACAATACGATACAATGGGTAACAACCATCCAAACAAGCTGTTAAACGAATATTGAGGTGAAAAAGACAATGAAGCATAAAACCAAAGTGGGCAATAATGTGCAAAAGTTGATAAATCTGCTTCTAACAACAATCGATTTCGTCACACTGAGTAGTGAGTACATAGCATACAGGGGTAAAAAAAAATAGAACCTTGATACTTAAAAATATTAAACCTTGCTCCAATAATGATAAAAGGAAGCTTGTCTAACAAAGTTTGTTTCTTTTTTATGACAGTTTTAGACATCATTTCAGTAGGAAAATCTTTCTATCTTGATTAATATATTTCCTGTATGATGATGGTATGAGTTGAGCTTAAATGAAGAAGTGATGATTCATACAGCTGGCCCAACTTGTTTGGGACTGAGGTATTGTTGTTGTCGTTGGTGTATTTATATATTTCCTGATATTCAAGCTGGCGCAAAAGGTGTAACTATGTGGACAAGGAAAGAATGAGGTAGAAAGACAGGATCCACCATTTCTCTTTCTACTTCAAAGATTACTATTTCAGCATAACAAAGAGGGACACAACCATATGACATCTACATACCCAAAATCACAAAAATCAGCTGACTGAGCATACAACAGTTATTGCCCTCAGATCATTCTCTAACTCTAGAAAATGATTCAAAAGGAGCTTTTGTATACTAGTGCAACAGTAGTATAGAAGTTAACAGAAATAGCCAGACAACTTAATTGCAGTCAGGTAAGTAACTATACTTCAATCCCATAGTCAATTAGATCCTCTTGAATTTACCAGCAGTTCTATTCCAAATTCTCTCATTTCGTCATATTTTATTAGTGACAGAAAAAACCGACCATACGCTCTGTGTGTAGACAAATAGACATCTAGGAAAAACACATTAAGCTAGGCATTACTGATTTCCGCACTGAACTCGTTACTTATTAGGAAAACAAGTATCATATAAAACAAAGTATGGCAAACTGAGGAGTGTTTTATGATAAACTCAGGTGGTTGACAAATTGTTCAATGTTGTCATTGCTTTGTCTCGACCTGACAAGTCAACAAAGTCCTTGAATCAAATCCTGCCATGCCATTAAGTACGAAATCATATTTTGACATGCATTGCTCTCCAATATCCTATGTGGTTAATAAGTTAAAGATGGCTCTATCATGGACACACAAAAAAAAAAAAAAAAAAAAAAAAAAAAAAAAAAAGGAATCGAAGGTTTATGAAGACCCCAAGTTTACAGGATTTTTTCCAAGCAATCCCCAGTTTGTCCAAGATTGTGCTGATTGCTTTCAAGTTACTGATCCAAATTCAATCTAGAATCATAATTTCCCTCACATAATCCAAAGCTAGTCTTTGACTAAATAAAGCAACTTTAAGCCAGGATTTAATATGCATTCACTTCAACTAAAGTATTTCCCCGAAATGTGTTAGACAAGATACAAACAATTTCTAGATACTATTTCCATTATGGGCTCCCAGTCAATCCAAATTCATATACTAACACTATATCGACAATTTGCAAAGCAATATAACAACATTTGCCTGATACAAACCATATCTAGAAATTGTTTCCTTTACGAGCTCTCTATTAATCCAAATCCATACACTAACAGCACATTGACAATTTGCAAAAAACAAAACGATCATATCATTAAATCGCCTAACAGACTTCATTGTTTACCTGCTGAAGTAGAGCAATCCTCTGGTTTGTCGCAGCCATAACAACAGCACAAAAGGGAAACCTTGAGGCCTTCAAGCTATTACTCATCTTGAAACCTTCACTAGCTCTAATACTCCCACCCCAGGAAACAAAATTCTCATTAATAAATGCCACCAACGCCTCATTGCACAAAGTCCTTTCGCAAAACATAGGCGTATCAGGATGCTCATGCGAATGCAAATACACGAAAAGCAGCTTAAACTCATGCCTAGACCTCTGTAAAGCATCCATAAAACCTTCAGCAATAAAATTCGGCCTTATACTCCCAAAATCCCTCTCAAAAATATTCACAAAATTCATTGACTCTGAAGCCGATGCAGATACAGATACTAAAGGTGACGTGGACTCGGCATTACGGCCCGAATTGAGCCCGATCATTCTCAACGAATAGGAAAGTACACCTCCCGCGGCCCATACACCAAACCCTAAAGCACCTGAAATTAACCCTAGACTACCGGAAATGATGGAGAACGGAAGAGTAATAATTTTCCAAGCTAGTCCCGGTGGTTGTCCGGCGGTTCCACCGGCGACAAGACCGGTTTCTTCCGGTGGTAAATTCGTGCTTGTGGTGGGTTCGGAGGCATAGTCAGTAGCAGAATGGTGATTTTCTGAAGAGTTTGATGATGTAAAAGTAGAGATCGCAAGCTCGAGATCCCAGCCATGAGCGGCGAGGATTTCAGTGCACAAATCGGCATCTTCGACACCTGTGATCGCTTGAAAATACGCTATCTTATCAGCTACATCGCTCATTTTTATCTTATTGTCCAATTCAATTTGAATTTCCGCCTATATTTTGCTCGCTATGTAAAATTAAGAGACAATAATCGCTCTGTATTCTTCTGCGAAGTGTTTGATGAAATGACAATTACAGAAATCGCGAAGCTTCTTCGCAACTATAATGTAATGGACTATGGCGTTGGGTTTTATCAGTTTTACGTGACGTCGAGTCGTGAAAAGCCAAAAATGCCTCTGACTACCTTTGTAATTACGAATCTACCATTCTCATTTTCTTAGTAGGTTATCTTTAATTTTAAAAAAAATATCAATGTTTTTTTACTCTTGTTTTCATTTGGTATGGTGATTGACAAGAATTGAGCTTAAATGGAAGAATTAAGCTTGAACGGCGAAGTGTCCGTTAGTAGTTGTTGAATTATTAACACAGCTAATTAATACAACACACAATGTACCAGCCTCAGTGCTAAATCAAGGAACATGCAGCCTTATAAAACGAAATGAAGAGAACACTACCAAAACATTTAAGTATTACTAACTACGTCTATGTATAAAGTAATTAGAAACACGTCTTCATGAGACATCCAATGACCAAAAGGACACAATTCAAAAGTAGAGTCGAGACTTGAAGCATTATGTAAGTGTCTGTGTGTGTGTATATATATATATATATATATGTGTGTGGCACACCCCATATTTTCATACGTGAAAGTATGCCATAAGTAAATTGATGAAAGCTCGGAAATGAGATGTTACATCACGCATTTTCGTATGTTAAA